AGCAGTGCTGCTCTGCATGCTGTAACATTTTAAACATTTTATTTTACTCATTCCTCATTGAGAATGTCACGTTTTTTTCACATGGCGGTGAAACCTTAAGAATAGAGTATCTAGGTTTTACATTAACCTTTAATGTAGTTTTGTTTGGAAAAATCTGAATCATACTAGATAACAAAGGTTTTGACCTTTAAAAAAAACGCAAATTTGTGATATTTTATGCACTACTAGACCAACACAAAGTCGTGCAAATAAAAATATGAAAGGTTCTTCATTCCGTTGAATAAATACTTTGCAGGACTATGTCTTGCTGCAGTTATATTTCAGAGTTACAGCTGCATGTCATTTTGGGGTATTTCTCCACCAGCTTTGCATTTCCAGAGATGATGGAAACACAGCAGACAAACCAAACCCAAGTCTTTTATTTTTATTGATTCACAAGGAAGCAAATTTTACAGGACATATATCCACATTAACATAATGCCAATTTCAGTACTTAAGAAGAAAAGAAAAGTAGACTTGTGCATCCTGATAAATAATGCAGCTGTTATAAATCTGTTTCCAGAGAAAGACTACAACATTCAAAGTTCAAAATAGGATAATGTAAGAGAAAAGGGAAAAAAAAGTAAATAGTAAATAAAAATGAACAAACTAAGAGTTATAAATAAATGTATATATTTTTTAATGTCTGTCTAAACAGACAGATTTCCTGTTCTGGTCGAGCCCATGTCTGCATGTTGATGAATTTCTTTTACCTGTTTTTTTCTTGAACTTAAGAGTTATTCAAGTAACTGAATAAAAAATTGAATAAAAACCTGACCTGATTGAGAAAAATGGGTGTCATTTTTGGATTTAGTGGTTTAAAATAGTCATAATTCAGTTGAAAAAATAAACAACAGACAAGATCGTAACCCAGCGTAGCGGTTCAAAGGCAACTAAAAACAGGTGGATTTTAGTCTTGATTTAAAGTAACTCAGTGTTTCGGCTGTTTTGCAGTTTTCTGGAAGTTTGTTCTAGATTTGTGGTGCAAAGAAGCTGAATGCTGCTTCTGCATGTTTGGTTCTGGTTCTGGGGATGCAGAGCAGATACATGCAACCATATGACAAAATGTGTAAAAGTTAAATCATTTGTTTTATTTAAATCATTGTAAAACCTGAACATCATGATGCACCTGAGTTAATTTGATTTTGTTTAGGGTTTTGAGGGGACGCTGGTTTGGGAGAGTCAGGACTCTGCTCTGCTCACCACCGTCAACTCCTCATCCGTGGAGCTCAATGATGGCGGCGGCGTCCTCAAGATATCCTCTGTAAGTATTTACGTCTCAAAGAAAGCCGCACCGGGAGAGATATTTACATATTTCAGAGAATAAAACTGTTGTTTTGCTCTTTGGAAATGCAGATTGCAGAAGGCGTCTTGCCTCACAGAAGTGCTCTTGGATTTCCCGGTTTGGCTGGAGGATTCACGTTTACCATCTACGGTTAGTCCTGCGACAGCATTGATTCAGCCGCAGCTTTCATGAAAAGTGTTCAATCAGTATCCCTCCCAGAGCCATCTGTTATGAAAAAGATAATCCCAATCTAAAAGCTCCAAAAGACATCGCTCATTCTGGCAGGTTAAGAGATACCTGAAAGCTCCTGCGCTTATGCCAAATGGACACCTGTTGTTGTTGGATTATTGATTGTTACTCGTATGTGCTTACATCTGTTTCTGTCTGAGAATGAATTCGTAGCCATTTTGTGTGGAAAAAAGTTAAATTAGTCTTTCAGCATCTCTGAAAACAGACCTAATGATCCATTTTGAAACATGCTGCAGCTTTATCATTGTTTTGACAGCCAGTAATTAGCTATTATCTCTCAAGAATGCACTTTTGTTGAAAATCTAGCAGAATAAATCCTTGCTGCTTCTAAAAACTCTTGTCTTCTTCTATCGTTTTGCTACCGATTACCTCCATGCGGGTACCTGGGTGTCAGATGAAGACGGATTGTCCGGGCTCCTGCGAGGCCGCGCTGCCAGGATGGAGAAGCACACCTCCGGTTTGAGGCGGGAGGACGCCACTCTGCAGGAGGAGAGCCTCAGGCATGGCGATGTGGTGTTCGTAGACGTGGTGGACACCTACAGGAACGTGCCTTCCAAGTTGCTTCAGTTCTATAAATGGTATGCCAAGTGCTAATGACTCGATTCTCTGTCTCCAAATTGCCTGAGCCCTCGGAGGAAATCAGCAACCTGAAATGAAAGCGTGCCGTCGCCTCAAAACGTCTTTGTGCTAAAATTACGGCTGCAATCAGTCAGTCGGAGAAGCTTCGCCGTTGTGAGTCATCAGATAGCAGAATGTACTCCCTGAGCGGTAGCGGGCTTTAAATTGACAGCTGCAGTGGGTCTAGAAAGTGTACACATTCCTGTTTTTGAGATGCGATAAAACAGGAGTCCGATAAATAATCTCCAACAGATTAGCTAAATCAACAAATCTGCAACAGCCTTAAACTGACAGGTTGTTTAAGCATCTTCTGATTCCTCAGCATGGAAGACATCTTGCTGAAGCCTGCAGATCCTCTGCGAAGTAACAGTGCTACAGCCTTATTTCAGATTAATCAGATTGACTCTAATTGTTGCCAGGAAGTGCTAAATCTGCAGCAGGTTATGCAACATTTTTATTTTTTTCTCTTAATTTCTGATCCCTGCTAGCAGCCATTAAATTCTCCTACTAACAAACATATATGGATCTTCCATTCAGTCATTTATTCGACTCTATACATCGTTATATACTGTACAGTGTATAGATAATTGATGAAAATGTCCTTATGTTACTAATGCGCACATGTTACATGTTTTCTGTGGGTTTTGTTTTAAATGGCTTCACTGCTGCTGTCGTGGCAATGACTTTCCTCAGGGGAGTAATAAAATATCTCCCTACCTATTTTTTATTTTATTTATTTTTTGTCGAGTTGTGTGGGATTTATTGCACAAAACTATATTGGAAATTTTGTGTCATCGTCTCATTTTCTCTGGCATTTTACCAGGAGTGGGTGCTCTTTTAAGGTTATATGCAGACTTCTTGTCCTCTTTTCTCTCTCGGTGGTATTTGAGAATAAATCTGCTCTGATATATTGCAAACAATCGGGTGCTTTTTTTAATTAAAGTTGCAAATTCTCTTTTCTGACAGGTCCGTGGGAAACGCTGACTTTAATCTGCTGCTGAAGACGGATGATGATTGTTACATCGACGTGGACTCGGTGTTAATGAAAATTGACCACAAGGGTCTGAAGCGCAGAAACTTCTGGTGGGGGAAGTAAGGACAGCTCAGTGTCGGATCTTGATGATGATGATGTCTCTTCTTTTTTTTTTCTTTCCTCGGTTCTGCCTTTGACTGTATATTACCTCCCGACCCAGTTTCAGGCAGAGCTGGGCCGTGGATCGGATCGGGAAGTGGCAGGAGCTGGAGTACGCCAGCCCGGCTTACCCGGCGTTCGCCTGCGGCTCGGGTTACGTGGTTTCTCATGACCTGGTCCAGTGGCTCGCCAGCAACGCAGAGAAGCTGAAGGCCTATCAGGTAGAGATAAAGTTATAAAGCTATAACTTTAGATGGAGGTAGAAAAAAAAAAAAGAGTAAATTTCTGCCAAAAAAAAAACATGGAAATTTATGAGTTTGAAAAGTCAAAAAAATTAGCTAGAAAACTAAGAAATTTTGAAATTAATCTCAGAAATTTTCTAGAAAAAACAGGGAAAATTTGAGGTTTGTTGTAAAGTTAAAAATTTGCTACAAAGAACTCAGAAATTTTACAGAACAAAAGGGAGATTTCTGAGTTTTAAAGGTCAAAATATTTTTACTTTTGAAAGTAAGAAATTTTCCAAAAGCTGGAACAATTTAGCAAAAAACCCCAAATTTTGCAATTTCATCTCCGAAATTTTCTAGAAAAAAACAGGGACATTTTTGTTTGAAAAGTTGAAAATTTGAAGAAATTTATAAATTT